TCCAACTAAACATAGCTTGAAAACTAAAACTATCAACTCCTCGAAATTTTTACAATTTTCCTACTCACACTTATAAGCATTCCCTCTGCAACAAAACCTCTACGCCAGCTTCTATTTAATATTCGAAAATATATGACTACAAGTAAACTGCTTACCAATTTGAGAAGTATGTACTGTTTTCACGTGGTCATATAATTCCTCTGGATTATCGTATTGGAAGTCACAGGTCTGCCATTTGCACATATATACTCGAATCTGTCCAGGCTTAAACTTAATTGTTTATGCACGTCTACCAAAACAAAAGATTTTGCACCTCCAACAACACAGCCCTTTTTCCACCAGTATCAAAGATTGTAAAGTTTTGAAAGAAACTCAGCTTCTTCTGCTCGAAGGCTAATGCGGTACAGCTAAAAATATAAGAAACAAGAAAAAAAAGTACCAGATTTGGAAAGACAATCGAAATGAAATAAACTTAATTTTGATATGATTGGAACTCACCAAAATTCGCATATTAGGAGGCTCACGTGCCTCTTGTTTCGCCCGTTCATTTGCAATATATTCTGCTCTAATTTCATACTGCTTTTTCTGTTCTTCTGACAGTTTCTTCCACTATAAAAAAAAGAAATTATAAACGGCACTGAAATCACATAAAACATGAACATTTAGACCTCCATCATGTGATTTAGAAGTCAGTTTACTATCGGTAATGTAAGCATATTATTACCTCAATGCCTACAATTTTGCTAACTTCACCAAAACCAGCTTCTGGATTTTCCTGCATCACCTTTTTCCGAACTTCAGCCGAAAATAAGATATAACCACTTTTGGATCGTGCATTAAGCTTTGGCTGTGCCGCTAACCACGTCACCAATTCCTGAAGCAAAATCATAAAATTTTTCTGAAAAAATACGCACACGCCATAGCTGGTCTATTTATTACCGAGAAGAATTTCAATTGCTAGACCCATAGGAAATATTCAATTTGCGATAAATTCATATTTAAATACCTTTCCAGGAGTAGCAGTAGTTGCAGTCGTATGTTCTGTGCCATCATTTGATTCCGAAGCTGTTTCATCCAAATCATCTAATGGTTCCATTGGCACTGATGAATTTGAAGCATGCATTAGTAGAGGTGACAT